ACTCATTTGTCCTCCTAGAAAGAAGCACCCGATCCTTATACTATGACAGTAAGAATGCTTTCTTACCCAGACTGATTGCATAGACCAAGAGTAACATCCACCAGATTCCTTGCCCAACCTGACACTTTAAAGATACATTTAATTTTTTTAAAATTAACAAATAGGAAAATGGCATATTGCAAAGCACCAGCTTCTAAATTTCCCCTAGGTTCACCTGGAAAATAAAAAGAGTGGATCCCTGTAATTCAATGCTTGATTTGGAAATGTGTCCACCTATAAGAAGAGGGAAGACCACAGCAACTTCAGGTGGGAAGCAGCAAACTTCAGCAGTTTGGCTTCAGTTAAATTGCTGTTTCATAACTGTCCTTGTCCCCCATCCAGCTATTCTGGGAGAGCACCAATAAAGTTCCTAAAGTTCCAAAATGCGCCCAAGATGTCTATTCCTTCTCTAGGTACTAAGCAGGTATGCTATTCAACAAATATAGATCATACAGTTTAAACAAAATGGAATAGAGGAAATCAATAAAAGCTTCCTTTAAAAAAAAGTTAGTAACTACTAAAATAGTAACTACTAAAAGAGACCTGGAGGAAGGTAGGGGAGAACAGGTTTAAGTTTTAATAATGGTGGGATAATATATTATCCATTTCCTTTTTTAAAGCTTTCTTAGTCATAATGACTAAACCATAAACTACAATTTGTCTCACAAAGGAAGAACTCCATATAGCTTTGTAATAAATATGTCAATAATTCAATTTTATAAATAAAAAGCTGAAAGATACCATGCTGTTTCTTTTGCATGGCATACCTTTTAATAGGTTATGACAATTTTATTTATTTATTTATTTAGAAAATTTACATGGATGCCCTTCTTACATATGAACTCTGGGTGGCTAATAACAAACAATGAGAACAATATAACCTCTGTAAATCAACATCTCCTTCCAAAAAAACCAGAATTAAAAGAATCACAGTACAATTACCAAGGCCGTATAACAAACTTAATCACACAAACCACACCCATATTGGACACATCTAACATCCTGGTCCAGTATCGGAGGGAAAAGCAAAGTCTTCACAGCCTTCTGGAAGGGGCCATTTAGATCTCGGGAGGAGATTGTTCCATAGGCCAGGCATTGAGACAGAGAAGGCTTGACTCCTTTGACTCACAAGATGACACTGTTTAATAGTGGGGACCTGGAAAGTACTTGCCCTGTTGGAACTGGTGGGATAGGCAGAAACGTCAGAGATAGGCAGTCCTGCAAGTAACTTGGCCCTGTGCCATGTAAGGCTTAAAGACAATAACCAGTACGTTGAATTGTAACTGGAAGCATAATTGGAGCCAGTGCAGCTTGTGCAATGGCAGTGTAACCCAGGGAAACCTCAGCGCACCCAAAACTGCACACACCACTGGGTTCTGGACCAGATGAAGCTTCCAAGTATTTTTTTAAGGACAGTCCCATATAGATCACATTGCAGTGATTCAATCGAGAAGTGACTAAGGCATAAGCAAATGTGAGCAGGGCCTCCCAGTCCAGGAATGGGAGGATCTGGCACACAAAACTGATTTGTGCCAAAGACCACGCCCCGCCCCCCCTGGTCACAGCTGCCCCTAGCTTTTCAAACAGGAACCATGAGTCTAGGAAGACTCCCAAATTGCGTACCAGGCACTGGGTAAGCACCTCAACAGCACCACTTGTCCAATTGGGGTGGAGATGTATAACTGAGTATCATCAGCACGCTCCATAACAATGGTGCCAATGGATAACCTCACCCAGCAGTTTCATGTAAATATTAAATAGGAGTGGAAAGACAGCCAAACTCTGAGGAACCCCACTAGAACAGGCATAGGGCTAGACCCCCTCCCAGCATCAAATGGAACTGGCCCTGAAAGAAGCAGGAGAACCACTGCAAAACACTCCGTCACTTCTAATCCCTTAAGCCAGTCCAGAAATATACCACGATTGATGGTACTGAAAGCCACTGAGAGATCCATGAGGTCAAGAATGGATGCACCACCCCAACCTGAGCCACAAGCGCAACCAGTGCCATCTCAATACTATAATCCAACCTGAACCCCAATTGAAAAGGGTCCACTTCCCCCAGGGCCCTTTGAAGCTGAGTGCCCATAACCATCTCAACACTGGACTAAAGTTATCCAACATTGTTGGATCCAAGGATTGCCTCTTGAGGAGGCGATGGACCCCCATCTCCTTAAGCAGGTGGAATCACTCCTTCCCGCAAAGAGGCATTTACCACTGCTTGGACCTAAACACACACCACCTCCCTAGAGGTCTTGACCAACCAGGAAATACATGGATCCAGAATATAGGTAGTAGAGCTCAGAGTGCCAAAGACCCTGTCCAGTTGCTTAGGACTAACCACCTGAAACTTCCCAGATAACAGGAAAGATCACACATCAGTCACTTCAATAGGATTTGCCCAGCCAGAGACATCTCAGAGCAGGTCTGAGGAAATATATCCAACAGATGCTTAGAATATTTATCACAGCAACCCAACAAGGGTTCTCCAAGCTCTTTCTAACCCAGAAGGGACCTGGTCACCTGAGACAGGGCAGTCAACTGGCTATCTATGGACACAATAGAGGTGAATATGTGTAGCTCGGTATTGAACTGTGGAGTCCTTGGGGTTCTCTGAGCTTGGTTCTTTTCTTGCAAATATTTCATTATCCGGCTAGGTATGTAGGTATCTATGGACACAATAAGTAGTAGGACCACTCTTATTAATTTTCACAGAACATACTGTAGTTAAGAATACTGATGTGCTCCCATTAGTATTTCTTTACTATTTATTTGTATGTATGTTAAGGGTATCTTTATAAGATTAGCTTTGGGAACACTGCTTGAGATAACTCTAGAATTTTAATAGCATAGCAATACAGAGAAATAAACATGCCTATCTGAGACATCAAGTTCATCCATTAATAATACAGTTACATCCCTTTAGCAAAGCAGGTATTCCCTACCTCTATAGGATAGGAAGTATTCCCCATCCATATAGCTGATTATTCTGTGTGTTCTTTTCCCTTCTATAAACATGAATGATTTCAGCTCATAATATGAGATAATAATTAGGCTAGAACTCCTTATGAGATGTTTCCAGTCAGAAAATAAATGACCACAAGATGGAGCAAGAATGTTTTCCAAGAGAAGAATTTTAAGAATAAGGCTTGCCTGAATTTTATTTGGAAACATATTGTTTCAAAAATTCCAAATTTTGGGGTGAGGTGAAAGTATTTTGCTCCTAACAATTTCTCTCCTGGGTGTTTTAAAGAAGGAGAAATGTAGATGAAATTTTAAATAAATATTGAAAAACTGAATAATTATTTTTCATTTTGCATCAAACTTCCAATAATGAGATGCACAACTAGGCCAGATGGAAATGAAAGAGAGAATTACATGTGTAGCCCTGACAAAAAAATAAGTAAGTCTTGATATTGAGTTATATCAGTGGTTCCCTAGGCCCATACTCTGAATTATGACAAGTAATAATTCTAAACCATAGGAACAAACCTGCTGCCAAGCTATTGAAAAACCATATAGATTAAACAGTAATGGGCTCTCCCTCATGGTAGCTATGTTGTGATGTCAACTGTTATAAAATATTACAATAAATATTGAATATAAATTAAATCTTTAATCAAATCATTTTCTGAACTTCATGTAGCCTAGCACTGAGAAATCCTATATTTCTTCCACAAGTGTAGTTATAGACTTGAGGATGGTATCATAATAGAAAACACATGAGATTTTCGAAATACGAATGTGAATTACTTGAAAATTACCTTCAATACCTGCTATTTATATTGTATTTTTGTTTCATCTATGTCTATCTAAACCATATAATCATAACACTCAATGTCAGTGTTAAGTACATATCGTTATTTATTAAAATACTTTAACTATCTTGTTTGGTAAGAACTCTACAGATACCAACTATTTTCACACATCACACTAAGCCCACAAAAGCTTATGCCTTTTAATAGAATGTGTTTGTCTGAAAATCAGACTCCTTCCAATTTTGGACTACCACAGACCAACATGGCTCTTCTACTATGTATGATTTGTTTGGTATTGCTGTACATATTGTGCATGTAAGCATATTTATGTCATTATGTGGCTTACGAACTTAATCTCATACTATGTTTAAGCAAACTATTATTACAATGTACTGATACAGTCACATAGTAGGATTTGCTTTTTATAAAAACAAAGAACCTAATGATAAATGTCATTGAACTGAACACAATATATTCTCTTTGATTACTTCTTTCCACTTTCTGGAAGTAATGGAACCATTTCATGATGCAATTTATTTAATTCTGTAACAATCAGACTTTACTTTCAACAGCTCTTATCACTATCATTTCTTTTGGTGAGAAGCACTGCTTTCAGCAAGAACCTTGTTGACTTTCCACCTCATTTGCTTTTTATAAAAACAAAGAACCTAATGATAAATGTCATTGAACTGAACACAATATATTCTCTTTGATTACTTCTTTCCACTTTCTGGAAGTAATGGAACCATTTCATGATGCAATTTATTTAATTCTGTAACAATCAGACTTTACTTTCAACAGCTCTTATCACTATCATTTCTTTTGGTGAGAAGCACTGCTTTCAGCAAGAACCTTGTTGACTTTCCACCTCCTTCATTTCCACGCTACTCCTGTACTAAACTCTCTTGCCTTGTTGTCATTTATAAATCTAGAACTGGGATATCAACCTGCTGCCCTCCAGATATTTTGGGTGACAACTTCCAGAATCACTGCGGACGCTAGTTAGGATTTATGGGAACTGCAGGCCAAAACATCCTGAGGCACCAGGCATCCTTCCCCGACCTACATTAGCAGTGATCCATGTCCAGGAAAGTTAATATGGGACACCATGTTTATTTAGAATGTGAGCCATATCAAGTTCTTCATTAGTGCAGAATACCGCTTTGAGCTGCCTCGGTTATAGAGCAGAAATTAAATGCATACCACCACGTCTCTAATCAGCGTCTTCCTACTGTGCTCCTTTTGTTTTTTCTTCTATCCGTTCAAATTCTCCCTCTCTTTCCACCTTCATTCTCCTGTCACAGCTCCCTCTTCCATTACTGCCTCCTCCTGCCCCTTCACCAACAGAAGGCGAGGAGAAACAAGATCAGCAATCCTGCAGTCAGTCTAAAACCGCCTAGAGTCTCTATGTGAGATGGGCGGCTGTACAAATGTGATAAATAAAATAAAAATACATACATACATACATAAAATCCAAGACATCTCCCGCTCCCTTCTTTTTTCCATCTTGTCCTCCGGAAAGGTTTCTTCTCGGCGCCCCCCGTCCCACCTGCCAGTCTCCTTCGGGGCAGGCACGCAGGCAGGCTGAATGGCTTCTTGGCGGGGCCCCGGCTGCGCCCTTCTTTCCTCCGCGGCAGCTCCCCGAGCTTTCTTGCCCCGCTTCGTTTCTCCCGCCCTTCGGCTGAGAGACCTCTCTCGCCGTCTTCCCCTTCCCGGCCCTCCCCCAGCTCGCCCTTCGGCCGTTTCAGC